GATCAGCTGCCTCCTGCACATTTCCTACTGGGGATGTGTCCGCAACCCAGGTACATGCCCTTGACGGGAATCGAACCTGGGACCTTTCAGTCCGCAGGACGACGCTCTATCCACTGACCCAAACTGGTTTCAGCTCTCTGTTGTCTCTTTATAGAACTTCACTTATTCAGCTGTTTAAAATTCTGGACCAACTTTTTTTTTATTTTGCATTGTTATATCCTCATATATTCCACTTGTCTTTCCATTCTACAATTAATTTTCTAATCTATATATGAAATTTTCATTTCAGCAGTGATGTTTTTAAATTTCTAATACCTAGTTCTCTAGCTCCTTTTTCATAGCAGATTTGTGTTTTATGGGTACATTATTGTCTCACATCTGTTAATGATATTTATTAGAATTTAAGTTCTCAGCTCTCTCCTCAGTTATCTCCACTTAACCTAGATTTAGTCTTTCCCATTGTTTATCTAGATCTTTTTCTTATCAAATGTTCCTCAAATGTGTTGTGGTCCTTGTCTATTGGTTCATATTTTTTAAGAATAAAGGACTATGAAGGCTAATTGAAAATCTTGTGTAAAAAGTGAGATTAGTTACTTGGCAGACTGCTTTGTGTTGAATAAGTCAGGAGCCAGCTGCTACAAGAGAACACTCCATCATCACCACCTAGCATTCTCTACATTTGTGGACCAGCTTGAGAAATATGTTTGGGAGCCTTACAAATAAGCTTACAGGTACTTACCCTTCAATGGGATGGGGAGAGGTTGACTGTTCTATAAACAGACATCCAATTAAGCTCCTGATTTCTGGCCCATTCCTTACTTCTGTCTCCTGTTGTTATCTGTATTCTCCAAAGTCTGGAGCCTCTAGATTTCTGCAGGGCAAGTTCTGCCTCTTTGTGTTAAGTGCCCTTCTTATCTATGAGACTGTAGCTTTCTTCACCATCCTTCATAAGTCTATGCCATTTCATCTGCTCTCATTCAGTCTTCCAGAAACTGGCTGAAATCTCTTGTCCATTAATTGCCTACTTTCTGTGGTACCACTGGATTGTACCAGTTTTATTCATATCATTTTCATGGTGTTTTAGGAGGCAGTAGAATATATATAAATATAATGCTCAAATTATCCTTAAACAAAAATCTTAATATAATTTATTCTTAATAGCTTGGCATTTTAAGTCCATATTAGTCTATATCAGTGGTCGGCAAACTGCGGCTTGGCAAACCGCAGCTCACGAGCCACATGCGGGTCTTTGGCCCCTTGAGTGTGGCTCTTCCACAAAATACAAACTTCTGCGCATGGGCCACAAAGTTTCAATCGCACTGTATGTGCGCGCCCCACGTGGTATTTTGTGGAAGAGCCACACTCAAGGGGCCAAAGAGCCGCATGTGGCTCGCGAGCCGTGGTTTGCCAACCACGGGTCTATCTATCTATCTATCTATATATATATAAAAGCCTAAGCGACTATTACAACCAGATGATAACTATGACGCACCCTGACCACCAGGGTGCAGACGCTCAAGGCAGGAGTGAGCTTCCACAGCAAACCTCCCACGGTCAGCTGACTTCCTGCAGTCCCTCCCCCTGGCCAGCTAGCCCCCATTGGTCCCAGTCGGCCCTGATGATCACCAGCCAGGCCAAGGGACCCTGCACTTGCACAAATTTATGCACCAGGCCTCTAGTATATAAAAGCCAAGTGATCAGAACGGCGAAATAGCCAGTCGCTATGGCACACACTCTGATGGCCAACTGGCCTGATGTGGGCCCCGATTGGCCCCCCAAACCCCCTGTGGCCCCTCCCCCTGCCGGCCTGGCCCCCAATCAGGCCCCCACCCCCACCCCAATTGGGGGCGGGTCCAGCCTGCCAACCTCCTGCGTCCCCTCCTCGCCCCCCTGCTCCACCGGCCTGACCCATGTTGGAGGGGGGGCCATCCAGACCCTACCCATGCACGAATTTGTGTACCGGGCCTCTAGTATGTAAATAATAAAAATGGAGAGATTTCCTTCAGCTTACCCACTGCAGTCTAACAAATCACCCCTCCTATGTAAGTACATGTTACTGGATATGCATGAGCTTATTAATTCATGTGTATGTGTGGTTGGTATAATTTTATTAGATAACAGTTATTTCATTATGCCAAGAGGAAGAAAAACATAAAAAGCCAGTCTAAGGGATTCCTTAAATCCCTATTCAATCATTTCCCATAGATGAGGTAGAATTTTCTAGCTTTTTCCCATAACTGTAGCCCTCATTTTTGTAAGCTTTCCTGAGTCTCTTTCCAAGCTTTCCCCTTTTTTTTAGACCCTGGAAATATAATTGTCATGGTTCTTTCTTCCCAATCAACACCTAACCCTTTTCACACTTAGTGGAAGCTGATCAGAGTGAAAATGTCTATAAATAAACAATAAATATTTTTCTTCATTATGGGTCTGATATTGTTTCTTAATGGTATGTACTGTAATATTTTATACAAGGCAGGTTAAAATTGCAAAAACTACAACTAGAAAAAAAGTTTCATTTTAGCTGAATTTTTATAGCAACTTTTAGAAATTTACCTTGACACTTTTCTTTGTAATTTATTATTCTCAGATTTCTATGTAAAAATCTCAGACCACAAATGAAAAGAGAACTAGACACATAAAAATCTGGGCACATAGAAGAAAGAATTGCTAAGAAATAGAGATCATATCTCTTTCCTACTGTTTTCAGAGCATTTATAGTTTGTTTGTAATTAATAGACATACTTAAAAGATCCTGAGTAGCCTACAAACTAGGTTTGTCATTTCTAAGTAACATAGTCATTCTAAGATTTTATTTTTACAAGAAATAAATACCTCTTAAATTCTAAGACAGTGGGTTCATAGTATTTTAGGGCTTCAGTTTAAGCATAGATATATTCATATTTGGTCATAATTTTTCTGTTGAGACCTTCTCTTCATTGAGTATTTTTCCTCTATGGATCCCATTGTAGTAGCTCCCTGGTGGTGGAAGTGGGTTGCTGGAGCAGTTTGCATTTGCTTCTCCCAGGCACCCCAAGAAAATCACCAGCCTGGGGCTAATGGTTATAATAATTTCAAACCCTCAAGTTTCTGTCTGCCCTGTGGTTTAAATTGTGACCACTCAAGTGTGATATAAACTGAATTTTAATTTTAAATCTTTTCTCATCCCCCCTCTCCATAGATAATATTGAATGAAATCACAAATGCATATCTTATTTTCTAATTTCAGCATAAGCAAACCATCATTTAGTCCTTAGAACCACTAAGTAAATGTCTTTAATTATTCTTTTACACATTTAGAAAAAAATATAACAACTTTTGGGGAGAAAATCTTCAGCATTTTAAGAAATACTACTTTTATATAATTATTAATTTGAACAAATTGTTAATTGATGCCACTTAAGACATGTTGGTTGGTGGCTGGAGTTTAGAAATGATGGAAAGTATATTACTTCTGCTTTGCCTTTGCCTTTCCCTACATTCCACTCCCTGCCTCCATCTTTTCTTGTTGCCCACTCAAAAACTAGAACCCATGTCCTCATCTTCTTTTAGGACAATAAATAAACCCTGATGCAGAATTCCTATATTTTGGTAATAGAGGGATAAAACTGTGCAGTTCAAATAAAATCAAATTAATAATACAAGCTTGACAAAACAAGCTGGGGTAAACAGGTTTTCAACCAGGAATATGTGTACCTTCAAAAACACCTCCCTGTGTTACACAATGTACTAGTATATTGAAATGACAGGGAAGATACCAGGATTTTCATGCTTATCAGAATTAACCGTGGTTTTTAAAACTGAAACATAATGCCCTGTACTTGTTTCTTCCAGTAAATAAGAAAGGAAAATTAGAGGGAAACATCTGTGGATTGTATTAGTGTCATATTTTTGTTGGGAAAAATTGTCAACTGTTTAAAGTTCATTTTGAAGTACTTGAGCCTAACAGCCTTCCCCAATCCACACCCTGACTCTGGTTCTAGAATACACTAGATTAAGTGACCTGAATGTATGTTAATATGCCATAACCTTACCCTTATTTTTTAGATTCATGGAAGTTTGAGTTTAGTTGAAGATGACTGTTCAGCATTAATCTAATCTGTTTAATCTCCTTGTCTTTTTATTTTAATTACTGTTTTTCATTTTTAAAGGTCATTTATTGTGCTTTTCCAAATCTGCCTGTTTTCTCATGGTAGAATCATCCCAAGCTGCCTTTTTATAGAAGTGGATTCAGGTATCTTCACTTTCAGTCCAGTACCCTAAAAAACATGAGCCTCATATTGTCCAGGGATGGCTCACAAGAACATATATCAATTTTTATGGCTTAATAGGTTTCCCAAGCAGTTCGTCATTCATGCTATAAAATTACTTGTGTGCTTTTTAAAAAATATCTTAGGAAAATATTTTTATAAAATGTGATTGGACTATAAGAAAATATGTTTTTGATTTCTCTCAACAGTTTTTACTCTGCAGTTTCAGCAACTTAATGTTAACATTTATTTGGATTAAAATCAATCCGTTTTATTTGTTGAGTCATCAAAATAAATTAAACCTAATCCACCCCTTCTAAAATATTTATAAAATGTTTCTATTAGAATACCTCTGCATAGTTCAGACATATCAGACTTTTTGGAGTAAAAGGGCTTTCAAGAGGTCAGATGTAGATTAAGTAGTAGTTAAGTAGGTTAATTGACTAGACTAGAGCCTTTAGAGAAGTAACAGCCTAAAAATGTTATCTTTGGCCATAAAGTGGGTTTATCCAAACCCTTAAAAAAAATTTTTAAAAGAGTGACATTTGTCCACTTAAATAATTACGGTAATTTTCAAGTTAAGAAGTTTTGAAATTTCAAATGTTTAAACTCACAATATTTTGTTTTAATGTATCTTTGGCACTCTTGGCAAACTCTTGTCACAGAATATTCATTTATTTTTTTCCCCAATGCTGCTGAAAGGTTAATTGACTAAAGTGGGTGAGTTCTCATGTTTACTAATATGTATTGCAGCTCTATTGGTACACCAGAAGGCCAGAATGGAACGACTTCAAAGAGAACTTGAGATTCAAAAGAAAAAGCTGGATAAACTAAAATCTGAGGTCAATGAAATGGAAAATAATCTAACTCGAAGGCGCCTGAAAAGATCGAATTCCATATCCCAAATACCTTCAGTAAGTCTTTCTATAACTGTTGTGATCTCTGTACTTGAATGTGTGAATAGGCAATCTGTCATAAGTATAAAAGCTTGATCTAGTTTTAAAAGCTCTTAATTCATACTTGTTCTTCTGTTCTTACCTTCCCCTGCCAAACTCAACTTTTCTAACTAATGACACGAGAATTCAATGTAGATCCTTCTCACATGGAATTATCTTTCAGCTGGAAGAAATGCAGCAGTTGAGAAGTTGTAATAGACAACTCCAGATTGACATTGACTGCTTAACCAAAGAAATTGATCTTTTTCAAGCCCGAGGTAAAGTTCAGTGCATATTCAGCAGAAATTCAATGTATAAATATACCAACTCTTTTCCTGTGGCTGAAAACAGATTTATCAATCATAATCTTATTGTTTCAGATTTGACTTTGGATCCAGATAGTGCTAAAGAACTACTGGGTTTTTATGTTCTCTTTCTCTACCTCCCCCCCCCCCCAAAAAAAATATATTTGATTGAGGAATAATTTGATACATTTATATTCTTCAAATCTGCTTAAGTCATGTGTTAAGGGAAGACAAGGAGTAGTATCTCTGGCTGCATTGTCAAAAGTATTAGCCATTATGTATTAAGTGAAATGTGTTATTAGCTATTATGTATTAGAGAAATGTGTTACAATCACATTTATTAACTTTAAAATATATGTGCTCATACACCTTTTTTGTATTTCCCGTTTGCCCTTTTACCTTTCAAGAATTATGCTTTTCAAAACATAATTTAAAAAGCATCCCTACCTAATGACACTATCTTAATTGACAAATAGAGAAGAGAATAAAAATACTGCTTGTACATTTTTAGAACAATGATAGTTTATTATGCTTGAACTATTATTGACAAGTAATCGTTGCTTATTGTAGTTAAAAAAAAAGTTGACAATTTAATTCACTTTCATAGACAATTAAAATGAAATTTTATAACTTAAACCTAATTCTGAGGTTGGGAAATAATAGAAATATATACTAGTAAAATGGAAAAGATAGGAAAGGGAAGGAAGCCAACAACAAAAAAAAGTCCTTAATAATACTTTTGAGTGTGTGCCAGAATCCATTAAAACTGAAAGATGATTCATTCTATTTTCTTTTAAAACATTAGTAAGCTGTTTATCTTGAAACATTCATAGCAAATGCCATAATTTAACTTTGGAGAGAAAAAGAAAGGGCTGGTCTAGAAACTATAATTCTGAACTTGTTCCTTTTGTTTAAAATCTGAACCATTATATTACATCAGTGCAAGGTTTTTATACTTATTGGAGGCCACGCTGTTTAGTTGCTTAAGGCCATGTTTGGTCACTTAAAATTAAATTTTAAATTGTAAAATTTTTAGGTATTTTGTCCCATAGAACAGGGGTCTGGTTCTAATTATGTCACTGTATTACTAGCACTAATTTGACTTCTTCCCCAATTTACCACTTATAACCTCTCTTACAAGTACTGTACTATGCCTAGCTCAGCTGTTTTGAAATCCTTACATATAATTTGAGATTAGAGGTACAAAATAAATGAAAAGCATTTCTGTGATTATTTTTTAGAAATAAAATATTTGGTTTTTAAAAAATAAAATATTTGGAGCTATAAACATTGAAATATTTACTTTTTATATATTTCAGGACCACATTTTAATCCCAGCGCTATTCATAACTTTTATGACAATATTGGATTTGTAGGTCCTGTGCCTCCAAAACCCAAAGGTTAGTGTATCCATTAAGTGTGAAAACTGTTACATATTGAAAGCAAGATTTCAGAAAACTTTAGCAACATTCCTCTCTAGAAGTGCTTCAAACCTAGACATTCTTGGATGGATTCATTAGGAACATATTTGTTGATTTTTATTTATATGCTCAGAGTTGGGGAGGATGCAAAAGTGTAATGTATTTAGCTCTTAAAAAGTAGTAGGTTTCCTTAGGATTCATTACACACTCCCAAAATATCAATCTTGGCCAAAAAAAAAAAAAAATCATCAGTTATAACAATTTGTATTCTTTATAATTTTTTACAAATGATGAGGAAGATATAATAGGAAAGTTTATTTTTCATTAGTAGCCTGTTTTATTAAATTTATGCATAATTTTGTATAATCAAATACTCTGAATTTCAGATAAGTGATTTTTGAAAACTATGACCTACTATCATTTTACATCATTGATATTCATAGAGTATATGCTCTACAAACTAGGAAATGTCGAAATATGTTTGTGGAATTTTTACTCCAGGCATTAATTTAAGTGTAATTTAATTAGGCCTAGCTAATCTTGATATTTTGTGACTTAAATGTTTTGAGCTGAAATGTAATGAACTGTTACTGTAGCAGAGCAAAAGTGAGATTAGGGCATTTGGCACAGTACACAAGTATTCAGACACTGGATGCTATTTGGTGTTAAGGAAGGAATAAAGAAAATGGTGGCATAGCCTATTTCCTTAAAAAAAGCAAAGTAGGTATTTCAGATTCTGAATGAGTTGCCTCTAAATAATCTTTTTACTCTTTCAGAAATCAAAATCTTTCTAAGAAAAATTTTCTCTTTTGCTTCAACATAAAGTACTTGTGTGTTGAGGGTAGGAGAGAGGTGGAATATATATAAAATAAGACTGGTTTTGACAATTATTGAAGCAGGATAAGTGCATGAGGGTTTATTTTACTATTCTCTCTACTTTTGTATATATGTTTGAAAATTTGCATGGTAAATTTTTTTTTAAATTCATTACTTAAAAGCTTTTTCACAAAATATAGAAACTTGTAGCTGGTTATTTTTTAAGAAATAACAAATCAATCATTTTTGCCTTGAGGCTAAAATGAGAAAGTAGTTTCACAGATGTATTTCATTCTTAATATGAGATCTGCTTCACAATGCAGTTCTTTAAATAACTGAAATTACAGGTCATCTTTTGCAAAGTAACTTCTTTTTTCAATTCTGATGATTTAGTTTCCAAGTACCTTTAATAAAAATATTTGTGATTCTAAGTTCTAACTGAGATTGTGCAGATGTAAGAAAAGCAGTAGAGATTGTTCATTTAAAAAGGTATAGCTCCTCTATTAATTACCTTAGATATTACTAATTAAGGAGATGCTGGTATTTAATAATAAATTGAAATGTTATTATAGATTGAGTGGCCCCTCCTACCTAAAAATCCTTTGTAGTTAAACAAAAAGGGTAGACAATTTCAAAAAAATGTGCCAAGAATGTTTTCTAACACCTGAGTAAAACTGAAATTCTAGTAACTTAGGATGGATCCCCAGATTAAAATAATCATTCTATAACATGTTTCCCGAGTATGAAATATGAAATAAATTTAGATGGTAAAAAGTCAAACTTTTTAAACTGTATTTATTTTAAGGTGTTTTAGGGGATACTAACTAGTATTGTCAGATCCTGGATTTTTCAGGTATTTTCAAGTTGCTCATGCATGTGCCTAAATATTGTGACCAATGCCTGAAGCTGGGAGTTTTGCAATAAAGTGCTCCTGAAAACTAATCAGTAAATAAGGTACTGCTAAAGGGGCATGGAGTACTAAACACCACTTAATTATTTTTAAATTATTATAAAAACTTACTATATTTTCATCTGATAATACAATAGTTTGTCTTTTAAAATGGAAAATATATCATTTAGTTACTATCTCAGTAACTGAATGATAGTAGGGAGAATTTGCAAATTAATACACACTGTTTTAATAGTTTAAATCATTAAATACACACTGATTTAATAGTTTAAGTCATTAAATTCAAAACCTGACAGGAGAGCTCTAATAACTTTTACTTTAAACTTTCCCAAAATAATTGGAAGGAATACTATTCCAAATTTATAATGGGATCCCCCTAAAAACGATCCATAAGTATAATTTCATTTTAGCCACAACTTTGGAGAAATATAATAATTTCTCATATTTAAGATACCTCTATTCATTCAAACACTCTAGAACATTGGCCTCTTAAAGCTGCAGTGACTTTATACTATCAGTAAGAAAGATTAGACCTAAAGAATATATGATTTATCTAAGATCACAGAGGAAAGAAATCAGGAATTAGTAGCAAAGCCAGATGTAGAACCCCATTCTCACAACCTTCAATCTAGAGTTCTTTCTAATGCTTCATAATAAATTTGATTTAAAAATAAAATGAAAATGGTAACATTTTTACCCTGTTAACTTCTCCAGGCCTCTTATTAGTTATATAAAATTATAGAAATTATTTCATCTTTATATTTTGTTTGTGTTCAAAGCTTACATTTTCAGCAGATAGAGAACATTTAACAAAAACTTAATTCCTGGTAGAAAACAGAAATATAAATACTGCTCAGTGGGAAATGAAACTCTAACTTTAATATAAATTCACTGTAAGTATTGTGTTATAGTAGGACACCTTTCCACAATCTTAGGTGACATTATGGGAATCTTTGCTATCAGTCACTATATGATTTGATTTCCCTTTTCTCCTGCTATAAATTGGGGGAAATGATGCTGGCTTCCCCTTTTAGAAGATATTGAGGTGACTGACTACATAATGTCCATGTAGCTATTCCCCAATGGAGAAGTAACAACTTGATAGAGATTGGTAAGGACCAAGCTTGTGTGTCAGTTTAGATGCTTCATCTGGTTAACAACTGGCTTCGGGCTGTGCAGTACAAATAGTGCTTAAGATTGCCAGTAGTTTATGACTTGGTGATTTTCCCTTCTAAAATAATTATTTTGCTTCCTTACAGATCAAAGGTCCACCATCAAAACACCCAAGACTCAAGATACAGAAGATGATGAGGGGGCTCAGTGGAATTGCACTGCCTGTACTTTTTTGAACCATCCAGCCTTAATCCGCTGTGAACAGTGTGAGATGCCAAGGCATTTCTGAGCCAGTAGGCCTTACATCTTCTCCAAAACCACATCTGAAGTTCAAGAAACTAGTCTGTCATCAGGGGGAAAGTTTCACTGCTACGTAGGATTTTGTCAAATTGAAGGTGTGACAAGATGGTGTTTTGCTAATGTTAAATGTCAGCCCACGGAGCTAATAATACCTCAGTCTAATATCATGGGCAGTTGAAATTCATCACATGAAAGGTAATCTGCTGAAAGACTTGGTTGCCCGCTGCCTAACCATGTACAGTGTTACCAGTAGCCCATTATGGATAATTCTCGATATGTTAATGCCTGCGTGTTCCCAATACCTTTTTCCCCTCATGTCACTACTGAATTTTGACAGGAGGAAGGAATAAAATGATGGCTTTTTTTTTAAGCTTTCAGTGAAACACTACAAACGTGAAGAAAAGGAACAAGGTTTAACTATTTAAAAACTGTTTGCTGCCGCACAGTGCCCACGGATAGGGGAAGAACTTCACAAATCTGTGGTACTCTTGGCCTTGTCTTTGTCTTCCCTGAAAACGTCTCCACTCTGAAGCCAGCATCTAGGGTCTAAAGATGAAAAGGAAAGCAGCATGCATCGTCTGTACAAACATGCAGTGAAGTACCCCAAAGCTTTCCTACTGTACAGATCTCTCAAGTCTGCTTTACGTGATTTCTTTTCTCTTTTATTATTTCCTTATATTTCTATATGTATAGTGTAATAGTCTTTTGTTAACTAATTTTCTTTTTTCCTTTTAGTGATTAAGCACGATCATGTCCCTTTTTAAGCCTTACCCAAAAGAAGCAATGCCTTAAAATAAAAAAAGCATTAATGAAATGAAACTATGCACAAAATAACTTTCCTCTACTTATTCTGTGCTTTACCCTCATGAGTGCCGATATTCTGTGAAGACATACAGATGCTGCACAATGAATTGCAAAAGATATTGCAAGACCTTTGTCTATAGGTTACATTATATACTGACTAGTGGTGGGTGACACAACAGTGTTTTGTCTTCCACAGGGAAGCTTAAAACAAGAAATTTTTAACCCACTGAAAGAGCAGCAAGGTTAAACTTGCTTCATCTGCCTGGTGTCCCACAGAATTCCCACAAGAGATTACTATTGGGAAAGTACAGTTTCAAAACCAGCAACAGCAACAGTACCTACAGCAGCCCCTTTCTTTTTTTTCTTTCTTTTTTCTTTTTTTTTTCTTTTTTTTTTTTTTTTTTTGGAGAGAGAAAGAGAAGTTTAAATGCTTTACTGTTGGGGCAATTTGTTTCTAAACCTGACTTGGTGGCAGTATCATGTGTATTTATAAAACAAGGCTAGTCATATTTAGGACAACTGAAGAAAAGCTGGAAAAAAGAAAAGCAAACTTGAACACTGAAGCAACCTCAAGCATCTCTTTATTTTCATGATATATTTTTATAAGGAAAATAAATAGATGATCAGGAATGTATATAACTAAATAAAATCAAGAAAAGAAATAACAGTATGCATTTAAAAAGAATTATGAAATTATATATCAGTGCTTAGAATGGGGCTAATGGAAGTGCTGAAATGTAGCAAAAGATAGGAGATAATGTAGACTGTCACCCATTGTAAATGTTTGCAAATGGATATTTTTTAAATAAACAGGATTATTACAGGTGATCTATATGAATGTCAAAGCCTTGAATTCCAGGTTTTGCACTGTGTATATGTGAAGAAATATGACAATCCTAGTTAATTAGACAGTAGACCCACAGCCCTTACATTTGATGCATTTTGCTTTAAAAATAGGCCTTGTTTTTCAGCTTCCTCTGCAGTTCTATGTGAAGATTGATAAATCAGTTTTTACTTGTTTTATTAATAAAATGTAATTTGGATATCTTGAGTTGATGGTTTTGTGATTTAGCTGGGTAAACTATCTTTGTAACAGATAAGTTATTTATAAAAATTAAAAAACTTATATTCTAATGTGGATTTTGTGACTTGTTTTTAAAGTTTGTGGGACAGGAGATAATTTATAGTTAATTGAAACCAGAGAAACTCATTGTCTGGAGTCTTCTCATGACATCATGGCATTCAACTGCATTTCTTGGATTATTTTTATTAATTTCCCCAGGCTTTTTAACTGATGAGAGAAACCAGGTTTCAGCTGAGTAAGAAAAATGAATGTAGCTTCTTTTTTCATAGTTAGAGCTTTTCCTTTCTTTTGGGGTTTTTTTAAAGTTTACCCCATTGTTGAAACTGACTTCTTGGGTCATTTAGCCTGAGGAGTCATTTAGTTAATGTTTGTTCTGGAATAATGTGTCGGTGCTGAGAATGGTGTTTCTCTTGAAGAGCATCTTTGTATTAAGAGTTTTCAACAACTTATGACTCAGTTTTTCTGAACTTGAAAAGAGCAAAGTAGCACTTACTGATCCCCTTGTGAACTATAGAAAACTCTGCCTTGCCTTGATTGGTCTTTTAAACCTGGTGGGACAGAAATATTCTCTACCAGGTCTGGAGACCACCTTCCAGGACTCATCGCACTAAGAACCTCAAATAGAAAGATGGACTTCTGTTTCTCGTCACTATCTCTGGGTGCTGACATTCTCTATATTTTAAGGGGAGGTGGATAGCAAGCAGTGCATGTAAACTGGACTTCTCAGGAAGACTTTTATATTAACAAAATGTTGACCAGTATCTACTGTCATAAATACATTATATGGAGATGGGTGTTGTATTACAAATTTGTATGGGGGAAAATAAAAATTTATTTTGCTGTTAAATTTTTTATTTTTTAAAATAACCTGGGTCAATCTATTGTCTTATGCAGAAAACCATAGATCAGGGGTCCTCAAACTTTTTAAACAGGGGGCCAGTTCACTGTCCCTCAGACCGTTGGAGGGCCGGACTGTAGTTTAAAAAAAAAACTATGAACAAATTCCTATGCACACAGCAGCGGCAAAAACACCCAGCGGGCCGGATAAATGTTTTTGGCGGGCCGCATGTGGCCTGCGGGCCGTAGATTGAGGACCCCTGCCATAGGTAGTCCAATATTAGCTATTAACTTTTTTAATCCTCACCAGAGGATATGTTTATTGATTTTAAAGAGGCAGGGAAAGAGAAAAAAAAAATCAAAAAACATTGATGTGCTGCCTCCAGTACGTGCCCTGACCAAGGAATCAAACCCATAACAGGTGTGTGTCCTGACCAGCAATCAAACCGAAGATCCACCCAACGGAGCTGCTCTGGCCAGGGATTAGCTGTTAACTTTAAACATATTTTAATCAAAGCATTCATAAATAGCAAAGTTAACTCCCATTTCAAAGTTTCCCCTACCCCAGTTTAATGTTGATGGGAAGTTTTTAGTGAGCAAAGATAGGTTGAAGAAGTGAATGGTGTAAGATAAAATATTCAGTCCATGAGTAAAGTTGGCTGCATTGCCTTAGAAAATAGAAATCCGTAGTGACAACAAAGGACATTCCAGATTTAATATCTGCCTGCTGGGTGTTAGCATAATTTTCCATATAGCATTACAAAATACTTCTGTTTCTCTATGACAAGTGAACACATTTCTGGCTTCAGTTTTCAGAAGCTACAATTAGATCCATAAAATCGCTCTGGGCTGCATTTTAATTTTTATTGCTTTCATCTGAAAATATAATCAGGCAACAGAGAAAAGGACTCTTTCTAAAGAAAACAAAATTTTGTAGCTTTATATTTCTCGGGTTGGGTTTTTCCCCTCTATGTAGCAAGCTGTTTGGATTTCTTTTTTAAGGGAGTGTAGTTGATCATACAAAAATGTTTGGTAATGCATTATGTTTGTAACTATAAATTTCCTATATTGGTTCAAAAATAGAATTGCTGTGTAGTATAATAATTTATTGATTTACCTAGTTGCTTGGAAAGATTATGAAAGCAATTGCATTTTAACACTGACACATCATTGTTCCCCAGGTAGACCTCACAGATCTCAAGATTCAAGACAGTTAAACTGTGCCATCTCCCCAGATCTACTCCGTAACCTCGGGATACCTCCTTGTTTTTTATATTCACGTTAAACCCACCTCACAAGGTGTTAGGGGACTAATGTGAAACTTCCTGAGCCAGTCCCTTCTCTCACTAGGAACTGGATTGTCCTAAAGTAGTAGGCCGTGTTCTTGTACAAATGAGTGTTAAGGCATTTTTCTCCACAGTGTTAATGAACAAAGTGGTAAGTTTGCTACTTCTCTGAATTGGTCTAGAGATAGACGCAGTGGTTCTCAATATTCTGGCCCTTTAAATACAGTTCCTCGACAGAACCTGGCTAGAGAACCTCGCTATGCTGATCACCTGAACGCTGTCTCCATGTCATTCCTTCTTCGCCGACTCCGTCCACACCTTTGGGAACCCCTGGACCTGCTGGGGCTGGACCCCAACAGGAAATGTATAGTAATGCTGTGAACCACACAATGGAAGGTATTGCTTGTACACTCTGCCTATGTTTTTCATGGCATTTCAATCCATGCTCATGCTTGGAGAGAGAAGGAGATGGATGATAGGGTGAGAAAATAAAACAGGACATTTTGAGCCTTAAGTGGGAAAACAGTGTCATGAAAAGTTTAGTATATTGTATATAGAGAGAATCTGTCTTATTGTTACTTTCAGATTTGAGATATTAATCGTCACTGATGTGTTCCCTAGGGCAATAAATCTCTTTGACTATAGAAATGCTAAATAAATAAATAAATAAATAAATAAATAAATAAATAAATACAGTTCCTCATGTTGTGACCCAACCATAAAATTATTTTTGTTGCTACTGTTATGAATCGTAATGTAAATATCTGATATGTAGGATGGTCTTAGGCAACCCCTGTGAAAGGGTCGTTCGACCGCCAAAGGGGTCTCAACCCACAGGTTGAGAACCGCTGGGCTCTAGAGCTATATCAGGGGCTCGGAATTTAATATTTCAGTCACTGTGGTTGAATTCTTTGCTTTATCAAAAGTTTGGTTGCTTTGCAAAGATAAAATTACGCTGACCTAAAGATCAAGTGTGTTCGTATTTCTGTTACTTGTCCAGCTATTTTATGGAGCATAACAAATTATTTTTCCAGGAAAATAAACTCTTCAAAGGACTCCAATGTTTGCACAACTGCATATTCCTTTTAAGTCTAAAATTGACCCAAGGTACACTTCATTCTAGCATCTTTCTTCACAGATCATCTTTACCTCCTCCTTTCCTGAGGGCAGGGACACATTCTTCCTCTGGTCTCAACTCCATAGTAGAACCATTACAACTTACAGATCTGCATTCTGAAACTGTAATCCTCATGGCACAGTGGACAAATACTGCAGCATCTTCACCATGGAAGTGCTTCCCAGAAATTAAAAAAAAGAAAAAGACTTTAAATCCCACTCATCAGTTCTAGTAGGCTTAGTGCCTTTTCACAGTCTGATCTAGTTAGTCCCCTGCCTCTGGCTCTTGCACCTCGGCACACTGCAGCTAGAATAAAAACACCAAGGGAGTCCGCACGCTGCTGCTCAGAAATCTGTAAGGTTCTGTAGTCTGGTCCTTACCTCCCTCTTCTAGATGGTTTGTTACTTTCCAACAGAATACTCTTATATTAACCTGGCCTGGTCACTTCCCTTAACACATTGCGGGCCAGTAGTTTTATTGCTAGCTTTACCCAGGGGCCAGGTAAGTTTCTATTGAATGAGTACAAAAACGTTTTACATAAATGTTAAAGGCACACCTTAACGTTAAATACCCATTGCATTTTGAAGTTATTACATGTTCTTACAAGCTAATATCTTTTTAAAGTGTGATACTTTGTAAAACACTGTGTAATATGAAAACACGAGAATTCCTGTGATCCGTCCGCAATGTGTAGATATTTTCCACATCCCCATTAATGTACTTTTGTCCATCTCATTTCTCATCTCTCTACTTAAGTTTAACTTTCAAGGGTCAAGATTATGAGACCCTTCCAACCCTTCCAAACTGCACCTTTTCTTTGCACTTGCTGTGTTTTCTGCCCGCTTGGCATTCATTGCTACTTTGACCTCCGCATTCATGTACTGATATGGTAAATGTTATGACATACCCGTCTGTGTCGCCCACAGTAAATACCTTTATGCATAGTATGAGGTCAGTAATTGTTGACAGTGATAATGATGCTTGCAGCCCAGATTTATTTCTAACATTTAATTCCAAGTTAACCATTTTGAATTTGGTATATATTTTCTCATAGGACCAATATTATAATAGGTTTCCAGACCAGCCTGGTAGTTAACTGGAGTGCTTTCCATTTGAAATATGGACATAAGGTACAGTACTATTGGGGTATGTAAATGTAATAGTGACGTTAACCGAGAATGTTTATTATCTCTGTGTAGTTCTGGAAGAGGATGGGAGAGGAGAGACCTCTGTAGATATTCCAGAAAATTAAGAAGTTGGCATTTGAAATTGAGGATGCTGATTCTGTTAACATCCGATTTTACTTCAAGCTCAAATGTTGCCTTTTCTTGGATACAGATATTTGAGTGGCTTCTTGTTCTTTAACAAGAGAACCAATTTTTCCCCTCAAGATTGAAGCACAGAGGAATGAGGGACTCTTTCCTGAGGAAATTGGTCAGGAAAAGAGGGAAGAAAGAAGAAAATAGAATGCAAAGTGTGTAATAACCCTCTCCTCTTTCCCAAGGATGATGTGAAAAGGGTGGGCTTCCGACTAAAGGAATAATAGAAAGCAAGAACTATTTGTATGTTTGTAGATTGGTTGTACATAACCAAGACACTCTGTGAGGAATACCATGAAACAAGTGTGTTTTATTACATGAATTGGCTTGAAATCTTAAACTACTTTTTGGGTTTTATCAGTAATTTCACAAACCCTTTTGCTGAAGTGCCAGATTCTTTTCCTAATAGGACTGTGCACACATAGAACACTAATTTACCAACCCGGGCAACCACACCCTGCTAAGCTACTGAATGCGAAGCAATTTCATTTCATG